ACAAAGAGTCTGGTGGCACCTTAAAGACTAACAGATATCTGTTAGTCTTTAAGGTGCCACCAGACTCTTTGTTGTTTTTGTAGGTTGTCCTTGTAGTCTAAGAATTCTAACCAGGACAGAGAAGGATCATCTGGCAGTGTAAATATCTAACTGCTAATGTATCTATTCTTTGCTTGTTAAATTTTTAGTATGTATAGTAATTCAGATAATTACTACTATAACTAGTTGCTCTTTTTTCAGGTTTCAGTGGTAGCCGTGTTAGTCTGTATCAAGAAAAAAAAAAAAAATGGAGTCCTTGTAGCACTTTAGGCTACATCCTCACTACGGGGGGAGGGAGGGTGTCGATTTAAGATACGCAAATTCGACGTATTGGAGCCGACTTACCCCGCTGTGAGGACGGCGGCAAATCGACCTCCGCGGCTCCCCGTCGACGGTGCTTACTCCTACCTCCGCCAGTGGAGTACAAGCGTCGATTCGGGGATCGAATGTCGCGTCCCAATGAGACGCGATATTTCTATCCCTGAGAGATGGATTTCTACCCGCTGATTCAGGTGGGTAGTGTAGACGTAGCCTTAGAGACTAACAAATTTATTTGGGCATAAGCTTTCGTGGGCTAGAACCCACTTCATCGGCTGAATGAAGTAAAAGATACAGGAACAGGTATAAATACATGAAAGGATGTGGGGTGCTTTACCAAGTGTTAAGTCAGTCTAACGAGTTAAATCAATTAACAGCAGGATACCAATGGAGGAGAAATAACTTTTGAAGTGGTCAGAGAGTGGCCCATTACAGACAGTTGACAAGAAGGTGTGAGTAACAGTAGGGAGAAATTAGTATTGGGGAAATTAAGTTTAGGGTATTTTTTTTTTTTGCTCTTTCTTATTCTTTCACAAAGAATCCATTTTATTTCAAGATCTCTTGCCTTAAATGAGTGATACCTGATATCACCACTGTCTGATACTAAGATTCAAAAATTTAAGACCTCTACTAGCTGGAGGATTAAACCAGTTAGTCAGAGGTAGATATAAAAGGTTACCATGATGGGCCTCCACCAGTGATGTCCCTGGTGAGAAGCCTAGTCCCACCACCTCTGGTTGTTGGCAAGAAATAGGGTGCTAGGAATTTTATTAATGGTGCCCTTGGATTTTATTCATTGGAAGGGAGGAAGGAGTCTTTTCTTACACTCCAGGGCCTTGTGACTATGCTCCATGTTGTTAGTGCTGCAGAGTGTTGCTGGTGCTGCAGAATTGTTAGTACTGCTATTCTTGAAGCCTCCAGTGTTATCTGCACTGTCAGAGGGCAGCATGATGATTCAGCAGACCTCGATGTTATTCGTAAAGAAAGTCCACAGGCTCGTTTGGTGGTAAAGATGCTTGGGCAAGTTTATTGTCCGCAAAGGACTGTGCTAGTGCCCTGTCCAATTGGTCACAGGGACACTAACAGAAGTTTGCCCATGACAAGGCAAATGTAACAGGATGCTTCCCCTTGGCTGATACAAAGGTGCCCCTCCTGTGGCTTCTCCTTTTATACATTGGTACAAACAAGTTAAGTATTAACTAACAACATCAGGAGTGTATCACCTTTATACCTTGTACCTTCTAGTTAGAACAAAACATCCTCATCCATTATGCTGTCTTCACGTTCTTATGAGGGGTCAGTGTTTTCCTGTACAATCTCTAGGGAATTTGTTTACACAGTTGCTTGAGAACTGTAGGTGTTTCTGTACCATTCTCTCTGGTAAGGAACGTGCTTACTTGGTTAGCCAATACCTCGTGTATTGCCTAGGCCTAGTCTGGTTCATACTCTTAGTTATGTGTAGGGCTCCAGCAAGACTTACACCCTACTACTCCTCCATCTTTTTGAGATTTGCAAAAAATGGGAGGGGAAGAAAAAGGTTTATCTTCTCATCTCTTTCCCAGCATCTATTCTGAGGAGGATCTTCTGTTTGATTAACTTTGGTATCTGTTTTCTGGTAGCTTTCCTCAGTAGTGTTATGAAACTGACGTGGTCCAAGGCTGCCTAGCTTTTGTCTGCGGGTATCTGAAGCGTTTTAGTGAAAATAACCAGTCATCTTCATTTTATTCTGCTACTGTGTGGGAAAGCTTTTAACAGCAAGAGAAATGTTGGAATTGTCTGCCTACAGATTCAGAAAGATGAAACTGTATCACTTAGCTTTCAAATGTGAGTGAAATTTAATCTTCGCAACAGTAAGAATTCTGCTAAAATTGTGAGTTTAGGTCTTCTCTGCTCACTAGGGAAAACTTCTTTCTCTCACCTAATGAGTGGATTTTTCAAACCCTGAACATATATATCAAATAGGTCTCTTATGAAACCTATCCCTTCAATATAATTTTGCACAATATTCTGATATTTTATTGGTTGAATAAGTTGGAGTATAGGCCTGTGAATATTAATATCTTATCAAAACGAATCATACTTGGAATACTTGATGTACAATATTAACTAATTCATCAGTTCTCACATCTTTATCTAAGATTATCCACTGGTTACTAATGGGGGATGCAAAGTAATCATTAGTCCCATCATTATTTGTAATGGATGTTTTTTCTGTCACATCAGACTATTGATTTCCATCTTTGGTCAAGTATGCAGTAATATCCAGTGTGAAACATACATAGATCCAGTATTGACTCTTAATGGTGAAGGAGTTGTTACATGGAGGCCAGTAATTCATAAATGAAACACGCATGGTGTGTAGAATGTGTAGCCATAAAATAATTATTTTTACGTGGGAATGAACTACCATCATTATATTAGATCTTCAGAATTCTGAACAATTTTATTAAAAACTTAACACAATTTGTTTGATGTTCAGGATGGTTTCACATTGAGACTATATACTGGATTTTGTGTGAGGTTCTGTTCCCCATTCTAGCTTGTTAACATTTTCTTCTGGTTTTAGGCTGTTTTATGTAATAGACTTGAAAAATACTCAAATGTTTCATATTGCACCAATAAACATCATTGGAACCAAAATTTAGTCCACTGCTAAATGTTAAGAGCACTTACGCCTGGATTGCTATTGATTATTCAAAGGTTCTATTGTATGTATGATACATCATGCACATTTATATAAAGAAGCTATAATTCTGTTTTCTAAACTGACAATTGTGAAAGCATCCTGTTAAAAAGGACTTTACAGAAATTGTCGTTTCAGCTTTAAGATTTTCAAAATACACCTCTACCCTGATATAATGCGACCAGATATAACATGAATTCGGATATAATGCAGTAAAGCAGTGCTCCAGGGGGCTGGGGGGCTGTGCACTCCGGCGGATCAGAGCAAGTTTGATATAATGCGGTTTCACCTATAACGCAGTAAGATTTTTTTTTGGCTCCCGAGGGCAGCGTTATATCGAGGTAGAGGTATAGTAAATCTGTATCGCTTCTTATCACTGACTTCTGTATAGATTGACATTTCTAATAAATGGACATTTATAAAACTCTCCAGAGCAATATGTTCCTATCTGATAAATATAGTATCGTATATACTAGTATCATGTTGCATGAAAAAAACAATGTTATAAATACGTGCTAAATGGATTTGTACAATAAAATTCGGTTGTACTTAAAGATATAACTTCTAAAATAAAAACTTTGAAAATTGCTCAATATTTCAGTTGTAATGATGAGTTTCATTATTCAGGTCCATAGTTTACTCTAAATAATAGAGCTTCTTAGCAAGGACAATGGTATTGTTTGTTAGTATTAATTGTATTGTGGGAGCCTCCAAAAGACCCAATCAGGATTTGGGCCCTATTGTGCTAGACTCTAAACCATGGGCTATATGGTCCCGTTCCTTGAAGAGCTTGCAACTTAAAAAGACAAAACACAAATGGACAAGGATAAACATACAAGCAAAGGAATTAAGGTGGTAATGGGCACATGTCTCATTGCTTAAATTTCCCCTTCTTTGACACAATCCCTTTATTTTATTTTTTATTTTGGGAAAGATTAAGCAAAGGGGAATAACAGGAGTTAGTGATTAAACAGGCCTGGAGGGAGGCCAGAGAGTTGGAGGGCGCTGGTTGCAATATGTACTTGGTTAGGGAGTCCTCAGGATGTGAACTTGCTTCCTGTATCCTTGGTAGTATGACAGGCTCAGATTTGATGGCCTTTAGGACGTGCTGCAAGGCTTACTTGTTTTCCTATGGTTTTCTGAGGTTGGATATATGAAAGAGAGAGGTTCATTGTAAAGGATTTTGGAGTGTTTTGATAGTGATTCTGAATGGTAGAATTTATGAAACTTTTATGTAAAATTGTCCACTAAATTTTTAAAAATATAAAATGTAAAATTAAAACAAATCATACAAATGGAAAAGTTCTCAAAGTTAAATTGTATAATTTTGAATGGGCTATGGTTATTTAATTCTTGAAGTAAAACCCTTTTTTAAAAACAAAGTCTGAACAGTCTGAGGAATTTTCCTCCAGGGTAGATTGGCTGAGGCCCTGGAGGTTTTTCGCCTTCCTCCGCAGCATGGGGCAGGGATCGCTAGCAGGAGGGTTCTCTGCCAGTTGAAGTCACCAAGACACAGGATTTGGGGACTTCATCAGCAGAGTCAAGGGAAGGGTAGGGACGGTTTTGTGGCCTGCAGCATGCAGGGGGTCAGACCAGATGATCATAATGGTCCCTTCTGACCTTAAAGTCTATGAGTCTGAGTCATTGAGGTAGGTATAGGAGACCATAAATTCATATATTGAATGTTCTTTCATAACCAAATAGCTATATCTCCTTTTTGCCTTTTTTATGATTTGAATTATTTTTTTAGTTCATTTTAGTAAGGCATAATATTCTACAGTCATTTGTCACTCAGCCAGGACATGGCTTCTTTATTCATTATGTACACTTCACTGAAACCTATTTTGTATTCTAGCTTATTAGATATGTTTAATTTTAACTAGAAGCTTCCTACTCATTCCTTACTCTGTTCCACTGTAGGTGCCCTCACTTCAAATGGTATAAATGCAGATACTAGTGCTGAAATAGGACGTGCCAAGAACTGCCTTGGCCCTGAAGACATCATAGATAAATATAAAGAGGCCATTTCTTACTACAGCAAGGTAACCTTATGTGCATTATGAGAAATTTCCATACATGCATCAATTCCAGTGTACTGTCAATGTATTTTTAGTTGGTGTTAAAGATCACCTGCCTTATAAAGTACATATAAATATTGGCATATTCGTTTCATTTGTGTAAGGGTACAATAATGTTGTAAGAAACACGAGTAACTTATAACAGTACAGCACACAGAGGGCATATAGAGTCTGCTCTCTGATAGGGGATCTGTCCATTTCAGAATTCTGGTTAAGCCTTCACACTACAAGGGACCAACCTCAAACTATGGTTTTATGTTGAGTTGTACTATGTACTGTACCACTTGTGCCTTTAGACTGTAAAGTCTGTAGATTAATTAGTATATATTTTTGAGGGGTGTATGAACATAAAGTGCTTTTATTAATGCTAGTTATTTTGGGGAAGTTCTCTGTTAATTGGTGGGCACAGTTATACTTTTGAATATTCATGCCTATTTCTATCATTGACATTTTACTGTGTAAGCTGACTAACATACTGTATGTATGCTGTAGCAATCTTTGAGAGGTGTCTTGAGTTTATTGAAGGGTTTGCAACTAATGGTACCTTTCCTGGAATCAAATATTTAGAACATAGTCTCAGGAGCGTGTGAAGGAGGAGGCGGGGGGACCTGAAGAAATAGTAAAGGCAAATATTCCTTTGGCTGATCCTTAAATGGAGACTAAAAGGAACTTTTTAAAGCCATCATCCATACTGGACCCTTTTTCCAGATTTCTGTGTCTAAACTGCATCCTCAGAGCATATGGTGTTAAGGTAGCTGTAAACTTCCGTTTAGACAAAAAAATCTTTGTATTATAAATTCCCTTTTGTATCACAGTTAATGGGTATCCTCATCTGTACAACGGATACATTTCATGGTATTTTAATATTTTGTTCAGTTCTGTCATCCCCTCCTTTAAGCTTCAAAACATTTATTTTGCATTGTTCTAAAACTGAGTTTTAAAAAATATGGGTTTTAATGTCATGTTTGCAATGAAAGAAGAATCTCCAAACGAAGAAAACTGTTATATACAGGTAGTTAAAATTACACTGAGGATGAAGCTGACTTTAGCAGTTCTTTTACGGATGAATAATTGTTCATTAGCATGCATCATAGGTTGCTAATCAAACAATGTAATCATTAGTGTTCAGAGGTAATTGTACGGATTTTGGTGAAGTGAAAAGAATGAAATGTGTGATGATTTGCATGCACAGAAACATTTTTCAAGCTTGACAAAGAGAGGCATCCTTATATATTAAGGCACTTCAGTTATTTTTGTTTCCTCTTTTCAAGTATAAAAATGCTGGTGTAATTGAGTTGGAAGCCTGTGTGAAGGCAGTGAGAGTCCTAGCAATACAGAAAAAAAGCATGGAAGCATCTGAATTTCTTCAGAATGCAGTTTATATCAATCTTCGACAGGTGAGTGTATAAACTGTTGGGTTTTTTTAAACTGAGAATGAAAAAATCATTAAGGGGTGAAAAATCCTTGAATTTAGGAACCTTGTTTTGCTATTCTGTCTTGAAACTAATGCTTTACACCTCTTTAGCACCTTACATCCCACGATCTCAAAGCATGTTAGAAACACTAACAACTCCATCTAAAATATGGAGGCTTGGTGAATGAGATTGAAGACTATTGGTGATACTCTTCAAGTGACGAATAAAGGTGTCTTAGGGATGCCCAGTTGTCAAAGGTCTTATTGGAAAGCTATGGTAGAGAAAATTGGCCACATGATCAGTTGTATCATACCTATTATTCCTCAGTTGTATCTGTTATGTGAGGTATGAACATTATATGTACAATACAGTATATTTTATTTAAAAAAATTCAAACCACTGAAAACCAGACTCAAAGCCCAGCATAAAAATATATCAGATTACACGAATAAGTCTTTCATATGGTGAGGGTCTTACGGTGAGCCTCAACTGGACATTTGTCAGCTCAGACAATGTGATCCTTGAAAGAGAAATTATTCTATGAATATGTCCTGGAACTTGTGGAATGATTTACACTTGGCACTTCCAGCCTGCAGTTATATGTAGAAATCACATCCTTAACAGATCGGTACAATGGCAATGATCACTTCATTCAACTGCCGCTTGCAGAAGGGATGTTCTTCCCTGCAGGACATCTGACTAGGTGAATCTCTCTTACTGTACTAGTGGAGGGAGTAGGTTCAGAGGTCAAAGCACTGAGTCATTTTTGCTTGTCAAATGGGCAGAGACCAATTTGTTGTCTGAATGCTCCACATTCTGAGTCCTCTCAACTACCAAACAAGTGGCTGAATGGAAAAATTTCTTTTGGAGAATGATTCCCAGATTGTATGCTTTGAAGACAAAGGATTGTCTTCCTCTGTGTTTAGAAAAAGATCTAAAAGTATGTGCTGGAGTAATGGTTTCTATTAGTGCAGAGCTCTTTAATCTAGGAAGGAAAGCATAAAAAGATCCAGTGACTGAAAGTTGAAACTAGAAATTCAGACTAAAACAAGGCAATTTTTTAAACAATGAGGATAATTAACCATTAGAACAACTTACCATGGCAAGTGGTGCAATCTCCATCACTTGAAGTCTTTTTAAATAAGGGTGGATGTCTTACTAAAAGATATGCTCTAGTTCAACAAGAAGTTGGGGCATAAATCACTAGGTGAAATTCTTTGGCTTGTGTTATGTAGGAGGTTAGACTAGATAGCAGTTTTTTTCTGGCCTTAAAATCTGTGAAAAATAGATTAAATTAAATTAATAGATACTAGTGTAATTATTACTAAAGATAGATGTGTTAAATTGGATGAGTGGGGCATTGTAGCTGTAGATTTTTGTCTCAAATGACCGTGCTAAGCTCTACTAGCTCTCTTCTGCAGGTATTTGGAGCAATACACCTTGGCTCTGGATGCATTTTCCTTAGGCTTGAATCTTCTGTCATTGTATTGTTCCCCTCACTTTTGCTTTAACACTCTTCAGATTAGAAATGGGAGGCCTCCCATTTGCCTTTATATGTTGCAGTTGGCTAGATGCATTATAATTATTTTGTCTTCCTCTGACATATCAGTTACAATGAACAAGAGACACTGACAGATGCATCTAAATATTGTTTTGAAAATTCATTTATAGCACCTATGTTCTTGTCTAGTAAATACTTAAGTATCACACATGTTATGACTGGAATCTTCCTTTGAGGTTGTGGAAAAATAACTAAGTTGATATGAAAATTGTTATAAGATACTGTCTTAGGGTACATATTAAGCATAATTGTATGATGGGGTATATTACGGGACGAAGACCTCAAAGAACACGTGCCACTGGGTACATGGAGACATAGAGGCTTGGACTTCTGGACAGAAGCTCTACCCAGACTGCTTGTTTGGAACTTTGGGGGGTTTGAATAATTTGAAGCATTGGCACTTGGCTCTTGGGGAGAGGGAGAGATGGTTTGTCGGTTAGCTCCTCTGAGAAGCGCTGCTGGACTCTCTAAACGTAAACTGCCCCAATTAGGTAGTGACAGATGTTTCTCATTGAACTCCTATACTCTTTGCCTTTAGATATTCTCAATCCTGGAGCAAGAGTTACTTAAACACTAGTTTTTTCCTTTGTATATTAGTGACTTTTTTGAGTGAAGTTGTGTTCATACCTTTAAAGTTATCAAACATACTTTTTTATGATCGTTGTCAGTGATTTAAAGTCTTGTATTATGGATTGTTTGCCCAAGCTATATGTTGTGCACCAGCTGTCAGCAGTGATACACTACAAGAACTTGTTATTGCTTGTTACTAGGATATTACAGAACTGAAATATTGTCTAACAGCCTCTGACTTTTCCAAAACAAGACATTTTTTTTCTCTATTTAACTTCAGTGTACTTTACAGTTAAACAAGAGAGAAATAGTGAGCTTAAATTGGATATCATACCGAAGTGCAGCAGCTGTGTAAACTAGAGAAAACTTGTAGGTTTTGATCAAGTTTCTTCTTTCGTAGAATTTGATGCCTATCAAGATTAAGCTTTTCAGTGTCTATTTCCTGAGTCCAGTGGGCTGTACGATTTTGTCCAGAAGCATGAGGATTAATATTTACATTGTTCTTAGAAATTTATAAAATCAAAGAAGGATTAAGCTGGGACGTTTATCCTCCTTTTTTCTTAATTTGTTACCCTATTGAAAAGGGTTTGGAAATTTACAAGATGGTAAATTTGTAAGAAATGTGTATTCTTGACATTAGAGTTCCACATGCATGAACATAATTAGGGCTTCAGCTTTTTTTGGTTTATCAATTTTATTTATTGGAGTTTATTTTTTAGCCATTTTTGAGTTTTATGTAGATATCTAAATATTGGTGGCTTTCTAGGCATTCTCTTTGTCCTGTGAGTAATTTATATAATATACATTATTCATTACAGTAGTATATATTGTAGTGAGTAATCTCTTTGTAATGTTCCTTAGTGTGCTTTAATATAATACTGTTTCAAACAGCACTACTTTAAAGCACACTAGGGAATCTTTAATGCATGCCAGCAGGGTCTAGATCAGGGATCTCAAACTCAATTTACTTTAGGGCCAGTGCCAGTCCTCAAATCCTCCCAGCATGCCAATGATGTCGCTGAAGATGGTGTTCAGAAAAGAAAATGTTTATATTGTATTTTTTATTTTGAATTTTTTAGAAATAATAATGGTCATACGAATTTATACAATTCTTCATCTGCCAGAGAGTTTTTAGTGTTTACCACACACCTGGCAATGCTTCAGTTCTGTCAGTTTGTTGATGTTTGGCCTCAGTGACTGAGCAGTTGAAACCTTCAGGATTGTAGCAAGGTGTGCATCAGATAGTTGTGTTCGGTATTTTGACTTATTTATATTCATTTCGGGGAAAAAAGTGACACTGCCTCCATGGCTGACTCTTCCCGGCAACTATTGTTGCTGACTCTTCCCAGTGTCTAGTGATGGTATCTCTGTCCCTCTCCCCCAGCCAATGGGAGCTGCGCAGAGTGGCGCCTGCAGCAGACATTGCCGGCAGCATGTCTGCATGCCTCTCTCCTCCGTGGGCTGCAGTGGGGAGGTTCTGAGGCTGCAGATGGCCCGTGGGCCAGGACTTTAAGACCCCTGGTCTAGATGGACCAATTAATGTGCAATACATTAGTGTGCTTTAGAAATGACACTCCCGTTATCTTCATTATTGCTCTGTGTAGACAAGCCTTTAGATGCAAGTAACCATTTCTGTTTTTGTGACGTTTATCGGATAAACACTGATTTTCATTTTTTGTAATGGGGTGTGTTGTTGATGTTATCAGTTTAAAACCTAAAATCAGAAGACCTAAATACAATTTAGTGCTAACAATGGCTTAGAGAAGGGTTGAGCTGTTGTTGACTAATGGTCCATATAATTCTAATTTGAATGGCTGCAATTATTGTTTTTACTACCGAGCAGTAGTAATGATAAACGTCAACCTACGGTGCAGCGCGCCCCCATAAACACACAAATCCAGAGACACGCTGTTTTAGTTTGCCAGAAAGTCCCTTTGGACAGCAGTGCTACTGAGGAACAGAATATTGAGCCAACATATAGTTAAATTCAAACCAGTTCTTCATGTGAAAACGCACTAGAACAGTATTGCTGTTGGTTTAAAGCCAATAACTTCTCTGGTTTCCTGATAAGAAGGAAAAGGATGACTATAGATGGGAATTGGCAGAAAAAGAAAAAAGGTCAATATTGTATTAATGGGCTTGGTCAGCTGAAGTTGTGTTGTAGCTGGGATCATTGTAGTTGTACTGTAGTAGTAGTAGTAGGCAGTGTGCATGGCCTGTAGTCCTAATACCATAGGCTGTGATCCTGTCACATCTCATAAACTAAGAGGGTTTGGCAGATCAATACTTACCTTACAGGTCTTACTAAATAAGTATCCCCAGAAGAATTCACCAAAAGATATAGTAGATGGTATGCCTCTGCTCCTGAGTTGGTGGTGAAATGGATGTCTTTTGGGTAATACTAAGGAACATCATCCCACTGGAGGCTTTGTCTTTCAGATGAAACTTAAAACAAACATCCTGTTACTTGTGGGCATTATTCCTGATATGCCAGTTTGATGGCTGCTGTTAACTGTATGGTTTATTCACTTCAGGGCTAAGGCGTTGTTTTACAAGGCTATCTTTTTTTGCATTTTTTTACAAAGCTAGGAGCATCAATCTTGATTTTCTAGCCAAATTCTAATTTGGGCAACTACATTCTTTCTAGCTAAAATTCCCCTTTTATTTCAACCAGATCAGGGTATTTTTCATTGTCATTAACTTCTTAGGGTTCCTTTGAAATGATAAAATGCTACATAAAAATTTCACTTATAAATAGTCTTGAATTCTAAAGTGCAACTTACAATGTCATATTTTAATATGATGATAATACCACCTAGCTCTGATGTAGTGCTTTTCATCCATATGTCCCAAAGCTTTACAAAGGAGATGAATATCATTATCTCCATTTTACAGATGGGGAAACTGAGGCACAGAGGGGCAAATGACTTGCAAAGCCAGGAATAAAACCCCCGTCTCCTGAGTCCCAGTCCAGTGATCTAAACCCTAGGTTATATAAAGTGAAGATAATATAAAAACGGGCTAGAAAATGCAGGTCTTAGTGTAACGGCTTGGTAAAAAATTCAGGACACAGGCATTAGAGCAGATATGGAAACCTGCTAACGGGGCCGGGGCCAGGACCAGAGATTATTTGCTTGTTTGCTTATATTATGCAAGATCATTGGGGTCTATAATGCTGGCTACTTCATTGTCTTTGATATTTTCTATGTATTTTTAAGTTGTTACATTTTTAACATTTTAGCATAGTAAAAAGTACTTTACTCTCTTTTTGCTTCTTTTTTACATTTCAGCTTTCTGAAGAAGAAAAAATCCAGCGTTACAGCATTCTCTCTGAATTGTATGAACGTATTGGATTTCACCGAAAGTCTGCGTTCTTCAAGCGTGTAGCAGCAATGCAGTGTGTGGCACCTAGCATATCAGAGCCCGGTTGGCGGGCCTGCTACAAACTGCTTTTGGAGACACTTCCTGGTTACAGTCTGTCTTTGGATCCGAAGGACTTCAGCAAAGGTAAGTTTCTGTGGCTCAGACTGCTGGTTTCTGCATTAGTGTAACTAAGTTGCATAGAAAACAACTCCCCCACCCACTTCAATCTGATGCCAGCAATTCTAGAAAGAAGCATCTTTGTCTTTGCTAATACTGCTTCTGTTTGTTCAATAAATATGAAATTCTGATCATATCTAGGCATGTCAATAGCCCATCAAACTATACTTAAATCTCTTAAATAAAATGTATTAGAAATGAGGAATTAGCTGAAGAAATCTTGGAGTCACTTGCAATATTTGCAAACTCATGGATGACAGGAGAGGTCCTGGAAGACTGGAGAAGGGCTAATGTAATCTCTAAAAAGAGGAAAAAGGAGGAACCAGGGAACTATAGACCAGTCAGCCTGTCCTCGATACCTGGGAAGCTACTAGAGCAATGTATAAAACATTCAGGATGCAGGAGGGATCACTAGCACTCGGCATGGATTTACTGAGAACAAATGCCAAACCAGCTTGAATTCGTTCTTTTAACAAGGTAACTGGTTTGGTGTATGGGTGAATGCAGTGGACATAATAATATACCAGGATTTTAGCAAGACTTTCGATAGTCTCACATGACATTCTCATAAGTAAGTTGGAGAAATGCGGGCTCGGTAGAACTACCATAAGTGGATACATAAACAACCGTAAACAAAGAATAGCTATTAATGGAATGATGTTAGATGGGAAGGAGGTCTCCAGTGGGGTTCCACAGGGGTCTGTTCTGGTTTCTGTTATTTAACACCTTTATTAATGACCTGGATGTAGAAATAGAGAGCATTCTGATCAAATTTGCAGATGAGACAAAGCTAGGGAGGGTTTCAAACACTGTGTAGGATAAAGCTAAAATTCAAAGTGATCTTGTTAAATTGGAGCACTTGACTATGTACAAGAAAATGAAATTCAAAAAAGACAAATGTAAGCTGCTACGCTTTGGGAAGAAAAACCAAATGTACCAAATACAGAATGTGGGAAAACTGGCTTGGCAAATAGCACCGCTGAGAAGGATCTGTGAGCGATGGTGGATCACAACCTCAACATGAGTCAACAATGAGATACTGTTGCAAAAAATAGCAAATGCAGTTTTGGGTTGCATTAACAGAAGCATAGCATGCAAGTCATGGGAGAAGATAGTACTGCTCTACTCGGTGCTGGTTAGGCCTCAGCCGGGGTACTGTGTCCAGTTTTGGTCACTGATGTATAGAAAGGATGTAGAGAAACTGGAAAGGGTCCAGAGGGGAGTGGCAAAGATGATCAAAGGTATGGAATGCAAGCCATATGAGCAAAGGCTCAAGAACTGGGTATGCTTAGTTTGGAAAAGAAGAGATTAAGTGGGACATGATAGCGGTCTTCAAATACTTGAAAGGCTGCCATAAAAAAGATAGAGAAAAATTGTTCTGTCTTGCCACAGAGGGCAGAACAAGAAGCAATGGGTTCAAACTACAGCATAGCAGATTTAGATTAAATCTCGGTTTATTTTACTTCTGAAATGTCCAAAAAACAAGAAGTGAAAACATTTGAAGAATGTATGATCTAAATTTAGATCAGTAACACAAAAAGCGAGGGTCATACTTGTTTTATGAGTGCTTTTAATTACTGTTGTTTCTATCCTGGAAATGAACAATTGTGACTATTTCATGTGATTATTTATTTAAAGAATCATAGAACTGGAAGGGACCTTGAGAGGTCATCTAGTCCAGTCCCCTGCACTCGTGGCAGGACTATCTAGACCATTCCTGACAGGTGTTTGGAGATTTTTAAGAGCAGGTTAGACAATGAGGGAGATTCCATAAGCTCCCTAGGCAATTTATTCCAGTGCTTAACCACCCTGACAGTTAGGAAGTTTTTCCTAATGTCCAATCTAAACCTCCCTTCTGAAATTTAAGCCCCTTGCTTCTTGTCCTATCCTCGGAGGTTAAGAAAAACAATTTTTCTTCCTCTTCCTTGTAACAACTTTTTACATACTTGAAAATTATGTCCCCTCTGTCTTCTTTTCCAGACCAAACAAACCCATTTTTTCCCCATCTTCCCTCATAAGTCATGTTTTCCAGACCTTTAATCATTTTTGTCACTCTTCTCTGGACTCTCTCCAATTTGTCCACATGCTTCTTGAAATGTGGCACCCAGAACTGGACACAACACTCCAGTTGAGGCCTTGTCAGTGCGGAATTGAGCTTAAGAATTACTTCTCGTGTCTTGCTTACAACACTCCTGCTAATACATCCCAGAAGGTAGTTTGCTTTTTTTGCAACAGCATTACACTGTTGATTCATATTTAGCTTGTGGTCCACTATGACCTCCAGATCCCTTTCTTCAGTACTCCTTCCGAGGCAATCATTTCCCATTTTGTATGTGTGCAACTGATTGTTCCTTCCTAAATGAAGTACTTTGCATTTGTCCTTATTGAATTTCATCCTATTTACTTCAGACCATTTCTCCAGTTTGTCCAGATCGTTTTGAATTTTAATCATATCCTCCCAAGCACTTGCAACCCCTCCCAGCTTGGTATAGTTGTTGGGATGGTTGTTTACCTGCAGCATCCGCAGGTTTGGTCGATTGTAGCTCCCACTGGCCGCGGTTCGCCGTTCCAGGCCAATGGGAGCTGCAGGAAGTGGCAGCCAGCACATCCTGTGAACTGCGGCCTGTGGGAGCTGCAATCGGCTAAACCCATGGACGCTGCAGGTAAACAAACCATCCCGGCCCGCAGCGGATTTCCCTGATGGGCTGCGTGCCAAAGGTTGCTGATGCCTGCTTTATGCCATAATCTAAACCATAGATGGAGATATTGAACAGAACCAGACACAGAACTGATCCCTGCGGGACCCCACTCGTTATGCCCTTCCAGCTTGACTGTGAACCACTGATAACTACTCTCTGGGAACGGTTTTCCAACCAGTTTTGCACCTACCTTATAGTAGCTCCATCTAGGTTGCGTTTCCCTAGTTTGTTTAGGAGAAGGTCATGCAAGACCGTATCAAAAGCTTTAGTAAAGTCAAGATATACCACCTCTACCGCTTCCCCCGCAATCCACAAGGCTTGTTACCCTGTCAAAGAAAGCTATCCGATTTGGTTTGACACTATTTGTTTTTGACAAATCCATGCTGACTGTTACTTACCACCTTATTATCCTCTAGGTGTTTGCAAATTGATTGCTTAATTATTTGCTCCATTATCTTTCCAGGTACATAAGTTAAGTTGACTGGTCTGTAATTCTCTAGGTTGTCCTTATTTCCCTTTTTATAGATTGACACTATATTTGCCCCTTTCCGGTCTTATGGAATCTATTCCATCTTCCATGACTTTTCAAAGATAATTGTTAATGGCTCAGATATCTCCTCAGTCCACTCCTTGAGAATGGAATGTGGATTTTTATGATTTAAGAGATTGTTCATGGTTGTAGGGTCACATTTGCACTCTGATCTTGCAATGATGCATACAAATATGCTGCTGCTGATGTGCTGGATGTGACTGCTATTACACCGATTTTCAGTTTCTTCATCTCATATACTGAGTTTATAGCTGCCATAGAAATAAAAACATTGTTTCCAAGCACTGTCATTATTACGCAGCTATAATTTTATAGTTTATCTTAAAAATATTTTTTACCTGTGTAAGTTTTACATTAGCCTGTTCATCATAGATCGTTTGGTTGTTTCAGATAAGTTGTTTTTGAAGAAGTTTTTAAAAATTATTTATTGAATGTTACTTAAGCTGTTTATAAGCTGAATGACAGGACATGATTATTAAATTTGCCTTTATTATACTTCTTGTAAACCTTTTTTGTATAACTTTTTCCCTATAAGGAAAATCCAACCTGCTGATTGGTTGGCTGTGTCTTTTGATAAATGCTTGATAATATGGGGGAATTTTCTTCCTTGTACAGTAACACATTTGTGTGGTACCTACTGTACAATGTAGCAAGAAGAGGGATTTGCTCAAGTGTTCTCTGCATATTCCCACCCATAGGGTGCAACCTTAATAGCAGTGCCCATTGATGTGCAAGTGCGCCTCCTTCTGTCCTCCCCTCCCAGTTTCTAAACATTCTCAGAGGGAGGCTTTAAAAGGGGTGTGGTAATCCAGCTGCCTCAGTTCCTTCTTATGTTCTTTATCAGCTCTTCATGGTAAGAACAGCCCGACTTGGTCAGACCAATGTCCATTTAGCACAGTATCCTATCTTCCGACAGTGGCCAATACCAGTTGATTCAGTGGGAATGAACAGAACAGGCAATCAAGTAATCCATTCCCCTGTTGTCCACTGCCAGCTTCAGGCAAGCAGAGGTTAGGAATGCTCAGAGCATGGTGTTGCATCCCTGCCCATCCTGGCCAATGGCTGTTGATGCACCTATCCTCCATTAACTTATCAAGTTCTTTTTTGAACCCTGTTATAGTTTTGGCCTTCACAACAGCCACTGTCAGAGATCCACAGACTGACTGTGCATTGGGTGAAGTCATAGAATCATAGAATATTAGGATTGGAAGAGACCTCAGGACGTCATCTAGTCGAATCCCCTGCTCAAAGTAGGACGAATACCAACGAAATCATCCCAGCCAGTACTTCCTTTTGTTTGTTTTAAAACTGCACTCCGGGAAATTTCATTGGGTGATCCTTAGTACTTTGTGTTATGTGAAGGAGTAAATAACATTTCCTCATTCACTTTCTCCGTACCAGTCAAGATTTTGTAGACCTCTATCATATCCCCTTGGCCTAGATCCTTCTGTTCAGTGCTTTTTAGCTAGTTGTGGTATAAGCTTTTAGTATAGTTAGTGACTACAGTAATTCTTAGGTAGTGTTAGTCTTTTATAATTATATATGTTATTAGTTAACAAAGTTATAGTTGGATCTGGCTCTTTAATTCTGAGATGACAGATCCAGTGATCAATAAGCCAAGATTTAGGAGGTGTGCCTCCTGTCTATAGGTCTGCCTGGTTTCTGATGAGGATGTTAGTTGCCTTAAGGCATCAAGGTGCTTCGTATGCTCTGTATTTACTCTGAGGACAAGAAAGGAGAGGTAGAACAAACTTCAGGCTCTATTTCAGGAGGCATTTAGCAGCCTCCTCCCACCCCCCCCGATCTGACCTTTTACAGGGATCCAAGAGTGTGCACAGATTGGCTTTGGCCATGATTACCACTGGGGACAAGAAGCAAGAAAAATCTTTGCAGAAAGTACTAGCTTTGGTTCCAGGCTCTAAAAAGTCTAAGGTTGCAAGGAGGGATTTGAGACTATTAAATCCTAAAATCAGATATTCCTTGGTGGTGATGGCCACTGTAAGTGGAGCCAATCCACGGGTGAGATGTTCTTTGAATCTGTGCACTCCCAGGCCAGCAGAAGAACTGGGGAACAAAAAGGACTATTACAGGAGCCAAAACCAAGAGACATTCTGGGGACTTTTTGAATCTGATATCAAAGATGGTATCCACCCTCATCTTTTCTCAAAGATGTAATTACCTTCAATATCAAAACCCCCTTCAGGGTCATCCTCAACAGAGAAGGGTGACCTTTATACCCTGTAGCAGAGGTAAACAAACCACAGGATTGTCATTTTCTGGACCACACATGTAACCTCATATGTGGCATGAGGTCCCAGAATTGTATGCCAGTTCCTATTTTGCCTTTCCCAACTCCATTTGGAGATGGCCTATACAGTACTGTTTTTACAACTAGTAAGCTATAACCTTGGATTAGTGAGTTTTAGAGATAATATGCAGCAGATGTGCCATACAGTTTTTAAAACCCTTCCTCCTTCCAACCCCTTCTTCCTTTTCTTTTCTGGGATCTGTCTTTTATGAAACCTTGCTGAAATCAGAGGTGGTCTCCCTTATACAAGCAGGTATAAGGAAGTACCAAATGGTTACAGAAGAAAATGGTTTTACTCAAGGTACTATCTAATTCAGAAAAAGGTTGGAGATCTTCAGCCCATATTGGAGTTCAGGAAACTAATTTCATTCATAGGAAAGTTTCAGTTTCACATGTTCTGTCTCTGATGATCCCCTCCCTTTCCACATAGGACTGGTTTGCAGCTCTCAATTTAAAGGACACTTCTATTTCCACATCTCCATCAGACCATTCCACTGTAAATGAGTCTGTCGCTTATACTAGGAGACTGGGACCCAGGGACCCCTTGATGCCACAGCAAGACAGAGCTTGATTCCAGGCTCTTACTGAAGAGGGTAAGCTGGTGCCCAGAACTGCACCTATCAGCAATTGAAGCAATAGACACATCTAACTGGATGTCAGTGGCCATTGTGATGTGGCCATTGTGATGTAGCCATGACTCACAGCACATGCTTTGGGATTGCCAAGGAAAGTCCAAAACACCATGGAGGGCTTGCCCTTTGATGGAGCCCACTGCGTCTGTAAAAAGATGGATGAATCTTTACTTATTTGTAAAGTACTTATTTGGCTCCCTGGGAATATGTACGCTTGCCCCCAAAAGGAAGTATTGCAGTCAGCCTTCCAAATATAGACTGGCAATTCAACAGTTTATCACAAGTGGCCTGCAGATGACTTTCGTAAGAAGAGTACAGAAGTCTCGTTTCCTTGCACCTCCCACATCTACATCAAGAAGATATTTTTTACGGGAGTTTGAGAGCTACAACTATTTAATTATACCACAACTATCTGATCTGCACGTATCCTTTGGGGGTCATTTAGTACTCTGTTCCCACAACAGGAGTGCTGACATAATGGACAAGTGGATATTATCCAATCCAGCTAAGCAAGTGAGTTTCCTTCCTTCTTTCCTACAAAACCCTCATTCCTGTCCCTCTTCAGGGATCATTCTCTCGAGGGGATTCTCAGGCAGGAAGTGGAATCCCTCCTCCAGCGAAGAAAAAGGTTGTTACTCTATATGTGCTTCCCCCAAAAAGAAAGGTGGGTGGAGACCTATCCTCCATCTCTGCAATCTTAACCACTTTATTCGCAAGCTGAAATTTCGCATGGTCATTCTGGCATCAATAATCCCATCCCTGGAAAAATACATTTGGTTTACAGCTGTTGATATGAAGGACACTTACTTTCACTTGGTTATTCACTGCTCCCACAGATACTTTCTCAGATTCATAGTGGATACTTTCTCAGATTCATAGTGGATCCTGACCATTTCCAACACAGGATGCTCCCATTCAGCTTTGTCACTGCCCCTCTGTAATAGCAGCTCATTGCAGATGCAACAGTTTCACCATCTTCCTCATCTCAATGATTGGCTTCTCATTGCCAGGATATGTCAAGGAGCCTACGAGTTGACCTGAATAGTGCTTCAACTACATTCTTTCCTAGAAGTCAATATCCTCACTCTGATGCAAACTGTAAACTTTCTAGGGACCACCCTAGATTCAGTCACAGATAGAGCTTATCTTCCAAGGAACAGGCTTCTGATAGTGAGCTACCTGACAGATCAGGTTATGCCCAACTCCTGAACTCCAGTCAGAACTTGTCTTTTTCCCTCCTGAGGCACATGGCTTCATGCACCTACGTTGCCTTTAGGCATGGTTCAGTGTATTCACCAACCAAACACATCATGAATACCTTCCAGAGTAACGTCTTGTTGCTATAGCAAAATGAGTGCGAGGTTAAGCTGTGTCCTCCGAGGGGATCTCTAAATGGACCTCAGGTTGTATCCTGCTCTGCTACCAGTTGTTGCATCTTTCTTTCCTTCATTGGGTGAGGGCTCATTTTACAAGAGCACAAGCAACTTCAGTGGAAGTACCTTTATTTGACATTTGCCGGGCAAGTACATGAAGTTCCATCCACTTGTTTGCGAGATGGTATGCTTTAGTGCAGAACTCCTCTGCTGACAACCTTTGGGACCGTGATCCTCCAAATGACTCTGCTGTCTTCATCCATGCATCTTCCTTCTACTTGAGTACTGCTCATCATTCACCCGTAGTGGAATACTATAAGGACCAGCACTTGCAGAAGAAGAGGAAGTTACTTACCTTGTGGTAACTGGAGAGTCTTTGAGGTATGTGGTCACTATCTGTATTCCACTATCCATCCTGCTTCCCCTTTACTTTGAATCTTTATTAGATTTGTGGTAGAGAAGGAACTGGAGAGGCAGTTAGTCCACTCTGCCCTTTATGCCCTCAGTTGGAAACACAAGGAGGGCAAAGGCGTGTGCGCGGACCAGCGGACACTACTTGCAAGAATTCTCCAACTCTAGTCACATGAGCAGATGTGCACACTCACAGTGGAATACAGATAGGAACTACACATCTTGAAGAACCTCCAGTTATTACAAGATAAGTAACTTCCTCTTCCACTATATACTAAATTTATCTTTGCAATTGGAAGAGGATATGAAATGAAATTTTAAATTTTTTAAATGTTTTACATGTAGGTTCACTCTAGTACAAACAAAGAAACAAAACCATGCCCCACCATTATCTCTAGCGCTTTTTTAAGTTAAAATCTGGGGTGTTTTTTAATCTTCAGCTTTTATATAAACACCAATATATTGCTTATTTGGGATCTGTAGAAGAACCAAATGTAATTATATTTTTAAGCTACTTTAGGTTTTATTAAAAATGTAACAAGTGATTTCCTGTTTATTTTATAGGAACTCATAAAGGATGGGCTGCAGTGCAAATGCGTTTGCTTCATGAGTTAGTGTATGCTTCAAGAAGAATGGGAAACCCTGCTCTTTCTGTCCGACACTTGTCCTTCCTTCTCCAAACCATGTTGGATTTTCTCTCTGATCAAGGTAGGATTTTTTAAAGGTAAATTACTTTTTTCTGTATGGTAGTGAAGATGTGATGTGATATTTAATGCTTTGAAATTTATTTAAATAAACAAGTTCTAGAGGTGTTATCTTAAAGGGGATTGAGTGAAAACCTCGTCCCAGGTGCACAGAAGAAAGATGAGGTGCAGTGGATGTGGTGTTAATTAGGCCGTAACTTTATATGCTTAACATATCTGGGAATACTCAGCAATAAATTGTACAGTACAGGTCATCATTTCTTCCTTAATTATTTTCACCTACTTGGGATGGCTGCTGTGAGCCCTTCCCACCCTGGTCCCAGTCCATTATTGAGACCCTGCTCCCCTCTCCTTATATTAGGATTCAGGGTGGGCTAAAAAAGGGGTGTGATCATCCCACTGTACAGGTGATAGATCAGTCCCCTTTTCCTAGCTTCCTTATGTGATGCCTTCAGCTAAATCCATTTCCAACTCCTGTTAATCAGGAAACTGTATCCCTTTTTTTAACAATTACCTGTACTAGACACAGGGAGGGATCAGCAATTAGTTTTGCTTTATCCCCTCAACGCCCATTTGAGTTCCTGGATAGTTAATAGTTCCCTTCCTAATGTCAGCTAAAAATATATCTACTCTCTGGTTGAAGAGGTGTATCCCATTGTCCCTGGATAACTCTGGTACCAGGTTTTATTTTATTTTATTTTTTTATTTTGCATGTAATCCACCAAATTCACCAATCCTCTGAATTTCAGATGTTTCACACATTTTCTGGCCTTGTCAACCCATGGAAGCCTGGCAGCAACCCAGCATTCCCTCTACTACAGCATTTCAGAGTCACTCCCAGGAAAAGGTCCTCCTAGATCTGATTTAAATCTCTCTGTGCCCTTATGTTTAAATAAACCCAATAACAAAATCTAAATAGTTTTCACTCCAGATATACAATAATAATTTCTGGTGGCTGCTTTCTGGCTGCCAGAGTATAAAAAGGGCATCAGCTGGTCCCAGAACATGCACCTTTTGCCACGCCAACTCAGATTCACCTAGTCACTGAGACCCAGCTGTGAATCTCTGGGAAACTGTCTGCTTGGATGTTTTGGCTCAGTGCCGGCAGGCTCAAACATTGACTATGACTAAGGCTACGTTTATGTCACGGAGGTCATGGAATCCATGACTTTCAGAGACCTCTGTGACATGCTCTGCTTCAGCCTCGGGGACTGAGGGACTCTGGAGCAAGCAGCCACTGGGGCCCTGGCAGGGTTCCAGCTATGGGTGACAGTCTCCTGAGGGGGCCTTCCTTATGGTTTCAGTGACAAGCGACAGCCTCGTGGGAGCGTGGAGAGGGGGACGTCTTGGGCAAGTGGCTCGGGGTGTCCCATTTTCTCTTTAAGAAATATGGTCACCCTGCAGTTCCCAGCTGCTGTGAGTGGAGGGGGGCCTCCCTGCAGCTTCCAGCTGTGGCAGGCAGAGGGGGAACCCACAGCTCCCAGCTACCACGGTGGTGGGGGAAACCATGAAGCTGCAGCAGCAAAAGTCACAGACAAGTCACTGCTTCCATGAATTTTTGTTTATTGCCTGTGACTTGTCCATGACTTTTACTAAAAATACCCATGACAAAATCTTAGCCTTAACTGTGACCTGTTATTTTGCTACCCGTAGAGCACCCCGCTGCTCAAGGTGACTTGGGGCTGCCTCACTACTGAGATCCAGCAATGAGCTTCCAAGGGGAACTGGCCACCCTACCTGTTGGCCAGATGCACAATATTTTGCTTGCACAGCCAGCCACCAACTCTTGTGACTGTTCATGTGATCCTGAAGGAAGGGATAAACATGAAGAGTTTAGCACATACCTCTGAATTATCCTCCCCAACAGGGGCTTCCTTGTATGTATTTGGATGCCACCAGCGATAAGAATAACTGTTGGGCTTGTATTCTAAGCTGTTCTGTGGATGTAACAAATGCAATCTTGAGTTCATGGGATGCCATTTCACCAGGGGAATCCAAACAATACATGCTCTTTGACATTGCCTTGAACTGAAGTTTCCTTTCATGAGGTAACTCCCTCCCCTGTGAAGAAAGTGGCACCTACACTAAGTAAGTCTGTACTACTTTGACTGGGCAAATCCCAGCCTCCCCCATGCTTTTGTAGTATTGTGACTCACCTAGATGTCCCTTAGGTCCTGCTTGTGAAGGCAGGGGGCTGGACTTGATGACCTTTCAGGGTCCCTTCCAGTTCTATGAGATATCATGTGCGCTCTCTCTCTATCTATTTTATTTATTTATTTATTTATTTTTAGGTGATTTTTGAGACTCTGAGAGTCAGGGTGTCAGATACGTTAGATCTCTCTTGCAGATCCCTCAATTCCAAAGCCCCATCTAAATCCTTTCTTGCTGAACCCTTATTAGCCTTGCTAGAGAACTAAATTCTTTCACATCCCCAATATATAGAATGTTCAAAGTGCTAGTTGCTTTGCATTAAGACAAAATTGTCAATTAAGAACTAACCTTCCAGAGATCTAGAAGCACCCGAATGGCCTCCGCACTGGCACTAACTCTCAAATTCTGGCAATCCCATATTTTGAGTAACTTGAAGTGGCTGTTATCAACATGGACCGCTGCCTGAATTGCCTCTCTCATGCCTGACTTAATTCTTGCAAGTTGTCACTGCCACTAGAATGGGAAAAATCTCTTGTTGAGTTTGTTCCCATCCCTTTCCTGATCCAGTAAGCACCCCTTGACAACATTCAGCTGGACTCTCATGCCCCCCTTCAAGAAAATACTGTTGTACTGACTAAGGAATTATCCAACCCAATGAAAAACCCCCATCTCTTAATTTTCCATCAGTATATATGGTCTGGTTTTGATTAGGGAGGCAGCTGACTGCCAAGTGTAAAATACCCATTCCAAGGCCACCGCCTGGGGTGTGAAATTGAAGATGTCCACACTTTGTAGTTCATGAAAAGTAATCTTCCTGGATGCCCTGGTCCTCCTAGCAAATGTATGCAATTCTACCAGTTTAACAGTGAATAGAGATACCTGCCTGTATCTAACTAAGGGCTACACTCACAACTCTCTAGTGGAGAAATAGTAGGTAGCCTCCCAGCCCCGCTCACTTGTTGGAAGCACTCATACTAGCTGCCACACTGAATTGCCCCACAATCACACATTCTCTCTGTCTGCTGTAGGAAGAGAGCATAGCCAGCCACCCTGCCCCTACAGGAATCACTCTGCTGATTAGTGATTGATGAGAGACTTCCTTCTGGTTGCCTGGTGTATAAATATAATTCTCCCCCACTCACCGGTGTTCATGGTGACTCAGTGCACCCACTTGGTCTGTCCTCCCTCTCTTTTCTCCCTCATATCCCAAATGCAGTAGGGCCCCTTAAAGGAGCCCCATTCCCTTTATTTTGGGACAGCCAAGTAAAGACCCACCATATTCAATTATGGTGAGCACATTTGAGGGGGAAAAACAAGGACAAGTAATCTTTTCTTCTAAAATAAAATATTTTAAAAAAAAGAAATTAAGGAATACAGGTGAAGAACAATAGTTGATTGCAAACTCTCAGTTTAACTCTTAACATATTAGAAGGATAAAATTGCACAAGCAAAAGATAACTGAAATTAACATAATAAACAAGCTGCTGTACCGTTTCTTAGCTTCTGTTTTGTATTCTACGCTTTTCATGTGTAACATTACAATTAAATATCTTAAAACATTTTCCATATGCAAATAGGATTGACTGCCTTATGCTGCAGTGTTTTCTTTCTCTGTACAAATTATGCATACACACAAACATAAAGGGATTGATTTATGAGGGAGGATTAAAAAGTAATTATATGTGTTGATGAAACCATTACTAAGGATGTTTTTAGCTGTATGCAAGTCTTAATAGAGGGAGGTGTTGTTTGAGATGACATGACTGTAACTGAGTAATAGATGCAGTTCAGAAAACATACTCCTAGACTGAATATATTGGGAACACCTGTTGACAAGCACACTCGAATAGTTTGAATAGCCTTCTAAGGCGATGGGGCAGTGATGCCATCATTAAGTTTGACACATCAATCCTTAAGCAGCTGCACATAATAGAATCACAACTCAACAAGGTTTAACTAAGAACTTATTATACTTGGTGGACGTATTGGAGATTGGATGCACTTATCTGAATTTCCTCCCTTTTTCTGTCTGTATTTCAAATTACGTTTCAGTGGAGTTTGTTTGCCGGGTTGGTCCCAGGATATTAGAGACGCAAGATGGGTGAGGAAGTATCTTTTATTGGATAAAATTTTGTTGATGAAAGAGACAAACTTTCAAGCTACCCAGAGCTGCTCTTTTTAGGCTTGTCTCTTTTTCATCAACAAAAGTTGGTCCAGTAAAAGGTTGGTCTCACCCACCTTGTCTCTGATGGAGTTGGTACATTTGTCATTAAACAGTAATTAGAACATCAGTGAATGCCAGTGTTGTCACCACGTTTGATGTCAGTTGTAGATTTAATCGGATTTAACATTGGTAGGATTTTTTGGAGGGGAAAATAGAATCAAGGCCCAAGAGGAAAACAAAAGATGACAACTACTGTTACTCTCCTCTTGCCAGGTATTTGGTTTTTTGATGGAAAAAATCTTTGATATAAAATTATTTATTACCTTAAGTAACAACACAGGGCCCCATGATGAAAGATGTTTTTTTTTTTTAAAAAAAAACACACCTGTTTTCAAAGACAAGTTCTTGGCTCCCCATAAATTAAATTGTTTCTTTTTGTTGTTGTTGCTTCTCTGTTGGAGATGTAGGAGAACTAGGGGAATTGAACGAAATAATTACACATCAAGAATTGTTTTAAGAATGACTGACTCTCTTTGGCAGCTGTCCAGCAAAGAGAGCAGCTCCTTTGCTCCAAATGGAGTCACTCTCTTTAGTGGTTCAAAAAAGTCCTATAGAAAGGATAGCAAATAAAGACACTATTTATATACCCAACAGACAAAAATTATTTCTCTTGAACTCTTAGGTAAATC